TGCAGGAGACGTTGTTGTACCAGTCGCTAACTGCGGAGTGCGGGAATACAATTCAAACCCCAAGGAGAGCATGCCCTTCCGTGACTATATCAGTTACTGGAAGGAGTACATCCAAGGAGGCTACTCCTCACCGCGGGGCTGCCTCTACCTCAAGGACTGGCACCTGTGCAGGTAATGGGGCAGACTGGCGGGTGGCTGCTGGGCACTAAGTAGCGAGTGCAGGCCCTCTTGGTAGAGCGTTCCTATTGCACTTAGAGGGTCTCCCTCTATAGAAGAGTTCCAGTCTGTCTCAAAGCTGGTGGGAGGGTGGCTCCTTAGGAAGGTCACCATACCAGCCCAAGTGGACTTTCATGAGGAAAACAAGTCTTGTGTGGATCCTGTATGGGTATAGGTGCCCTCCTCTGAAATATGCTGAGCAGGTTCATCTCAGTTCTCTAGGACTGCTCTTTCCGAGACCCCACTGAGGACAGGCTTGTTCCTTCCATGGTTGTTCTGGGGATTCTTGCCATCGCCTCGCCCATTCTAGGCGCTCAAAAGGAGCAAGTGAGCTTTCTACAGCCACTCTTGCCCACTTTAAAAAACCCTTATTCTTTAAAGAGGCACTCAACGCCCTCCCTGATTAGCCTCCACTTTTCTCACAAGTCAACTTGTGACTGCTTTGCTTAGGAGTTTGTTTTTGTTTTTTAACTTTGTGGTGGTGCAGGAGTGCAGTGCATTCTGTAAGAACTACTTCCAGATTTGAATTTTGCTGTTTCCGTGTGCTAGCCGGATGTGGTGCGCTTCTTCCCCTTCCCTTCTCTATATTGGACAGCGTTAAGAAGTCACACCCCCATCCAACCCCTGGGTCTACTGAAATGATCACATCTCTACAAGTGCTCCGTGGTTGTGCATTTAGGCACACTGCTGCCTTTTTTCTTTTTAGAACTGGTAAAGCTAAGTTCTTGAGCATCTAAATGCATGCTATTAGTACATTGTTAAATTTTTGGTATTGCCAGTTTGGACATGTCAGTACATAAGCCTATTGTAAGCTGAGGAGCCCACTACATCTCAGGAGTTTTGGCTGCACCTAAGGCCCAGCCCACATGATTCTTGCTTTCTTTGGGAAGAGCATCACTTCTTTCCATGGCAACCCTGAGACTGTGTGTTTTCTCTCCCTGGAGTGCCTTTCACAAGCACAGACGGTTGTGCTCAGAACCCCAGCAGAAGGCACAGTGAACAGTTGAATCCTTTATCACTTGTGTGCAAAATGAGGCTCAGAGCTGTAGACTAGGATGGAATTTCAGGCCCCTGCAGTTTCCTCAAGTGAGCAGATGCAAAAGAAACACCAGCCTCCAGCTACCCTGTCATACTACTTCTCCTTTGGGCAGAAAACTGGCCTGCGCAGGAGGTGGCTAAAGTGTGAGCAGACACTGGACCTGGATCTGTATAATGTTTGAGCAGGTACAGACGGGACTCACAGGCCTAAATTCTGTCATGTGTAATAGTTTGAAATTGCAGGTAAATATTTGAGTTGGTTTGTTTTGTTCTTTTGTGCTTTTTTTGTTTGGGGAGGTAATAAATATTTCCCATATGTTACACTAACATATTTAGGCTAAAAAATTGTTCACTGTATTTAAATTCTTTGTTTGCTTGTTTTGTTTTGTTTTTTTTCTGGAAGACCCTGAAACCAAAATGGGCAGAAGAAGGCATGGAGTTGCATAATCAGGAGGCCACGGGGGATTGATGCCTGAGCCAAGTTTAATAGTTTGCTGAGTGCTAAGAGGCAGGCAGTCCTGATGTTTGGGGACCTACAGACAAGTTGTTGCTACTGGAGCTCTGCCTATCTCTGTCTCTTGTTGGGAATTACAGGCACATGAATCTAGAAGCTTTTCCCAGCATGATGGTGTTGCACCTTCTCTGAGACTGGTGTTAATATGATCCAGTATTTGGGAACCCATTGATGGGCTTTGAGGCTCTCACACCTGGGGCTGCAGCCTGGAGTTGCCAGGTAGTGTTACACTGTCCAGTATTGGTGAAAAAAAGGAGGAAGCCCATGGCTCAGGAATTGGGATGATGCTTACCATTTGTTCAGAGCCCCAGTGACCACTGCCTAAATGGAGTGGTTATACCAGGTGTCTCCAAAGTCATTTTATCTTAAGCATTCTAAACTAAGCAACTTGAGATTCAGCTCGTGTCCTCAGGATCTCCAGCAGTCAAGAAGTCCACTAGGGCTGGGTGATCTTAGGTGGCCCTGTTTGATGTGGCTGGGCCTGCTGGGATGGGACACAGGGTAGATTAGTACAATATAGCTCCTGTGCTTTCCTCAGAGACTCCTTGGTGGATGACTTGGAAGATATATTCACCCTGCCTGTGTACTTCTCATCAGACTGGCTGAACGAGTTCTGGGACGTCCTCAATGTGGATGACTACCGCTTTGTCTATGCGGGGCCCAGGGGCACCTGGTAATGACAGAAGGGACTTGGGCACCTGGTGAAGATGAGATGGGAGGTGTGACCATCTGGGGCATCTGCCTAGAGGCCTATCAAAAACATCAGGGTCCACACAGGACTCCACAAGACACAAACCAAAAGCCCTTGCTGTAGGTCTCCCTTCCATGCGGACATCTTCCGCTCCTTCAGCTGGTCAGTGAACATCTGTGGGAGGAAGAAATGGTTGTTCTTCCCGCCAGGGCAGGAGGAGGCCCTTCGGGACTGCCATGGTAACCTGCCCTATGATGTGACTTCCGCTGAGCTCCTGGACACTCGCCTGTATCCCAGGATCCAGCACAGCAGCCTACCCCTTGAAGTCATACAGGAGGCTGGTGAGATGATATTTGTGCCCAGCGGGTGGCACCATCAAGTATACAATCTGGTAAGACAGTGCACATGACCCTGCTTCTGCCAGGCTCCCTCCCTCTGTATCCCCAATTGCCTCTGTAGAAAGAAGGCACTCTCACTCCCCTGCAAAGACTGGATAATAGGATAGGGAAGCCACAACTGAGACCACGGGGAACTTACCCTTTGCCCTATTCTAAGTTGGCTCCTCTAGTTCTCATTCCAATGTGTTAGCCCCATCATGAGATGGGATCAATATTTCCTGGCTGCCGTGGCTAAATGTCTATTTGCTCCTTTGCCCACTATTGTTTCATTTCTGTTGCTGTGACAAAATACTCTGACAAAAAGTAATTTAGGGGAGAAAGGGTTTATTCCCAGTTACAGTTCATCATTGTGGGGAAGTCAAGGCAGGAACTTCAAATGACTAGTCACATCACATCCACAGTCAAGAATAGAGAAATGGCCAGGTGTGGGTGGCGCACACCTTTAATTCCAGCACTCGGGAGGCAGAGGCAGGCAGATCTCTGTGAGTTTGAGGACAGCCTCGTCTACAGAGCGAGTTCCAGGACAACCTCCAAAACAATACAGAGAGAGAAACTGTCTCTAAAAAACAAAAAAAGAAAGAATAGAGAAATGAATGCACATATATATTTACTTTCTTATTTGTGCTCAGCTCCGTTTTTCTGCTCTTATTTGTGCTCAGCTCCGTTTTTCTGCTCTTAAACAGTTCAGGACCCTCTGCTTCAGGAGTGATGGTGCCACACACAATGAGCTGGCACCATCAGTTAAGACAATCTCCCCACAGACATGCCCACAGCCCAAGCCAATGTAGACAATTCGTCATTGAGATTATCTCCTCAGGTAATTCTAGATTGTGTCAAGTTTACAGTTAAAACTCTTACACCCGCCGGGCAGTAGTGGCGCACACCTTTAATCCTAGCACTCTGGAGGTACAGCCAAGCAGATCTCTCTGAGCTTAAGGCCAGCCTGGTCTACAGAGTGAGTGCCAGGATAGACTTCAAAGCTACACAGAGAAACCTGTCCAAAAACAGGTAACAACAGAACTCTCACACCCACCCAAAGCATGGAGCTTGATGGGCATGGAGTGGGATTTGATTTGCTCACCAAAGGTAATGCCCGCTGTTGCCTCATGGAGCTTGTCCTCTATCCTCCAGGATGACACCATCTCTATCAACCACAACTGGGTCAATGGCTGCAACCTGGCAAACATGTGGCACTTTCTGCAACAAGAACTCCAGGCAGTACAGCACGAGGTCAGAGAATGGAAGAACTCCATGCCTGACTGGCACCACCACTGCCAGGTGGGAAGCAACCAGCCCATGTTGAGTCAGCTTTGGGTCCAGTATAGATGCCAGGGCCAGGCTTCATGACTCAGACCCAGTGGCCACTATCCTGACTCTGTCCCTGTGTCTCTGGGTCCCATCTTAGCCTCTAGGTATGTGGGAGGGATCTTTGCAGTCTGAGTCTGGATGTGACATCAGGATGTACTTGCCCTTTCCTCTTGGCCCAGGTCATCATGAAGTCCTGCACGGGGATCAATTTTGAAGAATTTTACCATTTCCTCAAGGTCATCGCTGAGAAGAGACTTCTTGTCCTGAAGCAAGGACTGAAGGGGGATACAGGGGACAAGCCAGGCCTAGGACTGAACCTGCAGCAGGCTGCATTTGATGTTGGCCGCCTTGCAGATGTGCTGGCCTCTGTGGTTGCACATATCGACTTTCAGAGAGTGGACACCAGTGCATTCTCACCACAGCCAGAGGAGCTGCTTCAGCAGCTGGAAGACACCATGGCCGCTGCTGAGGCCCTTTAGTAGCCTATAGGACTTGATGTAGGGAGAATTCTGAAGGGTAGCCTCTTGCCCCAGGGTCCTTCTGAAGTACAGGCTACCCTTCCTTAGGTCTAGGATGTGCCCCAAGGCTGTGCACATGCAGTTTTTGCAGAGTGGGCAGACAAAGTCTTGCCCATCTGGTGCTGTTTCCTGGCATCTAGGCCCTGGATCTCGAGGGGGGTCCAGCCAAAATGGGAGTTTAACCCATGGGGACTAGAGGGATGTTCACCCATTTGGCCTATAGCAAGCCTGCCAAGAACTTAAATTGAGTAGTGATCATGAAACCAGGTTACTTTGATGACTTCCAGCCTCTCCTAGTGATCCTAGGACTCCTGAGTGGTGGATATCCAGTCTGCTTCCTTAGAAGTGTCATTGTGTGACCTGGGATGTATATGTGCAGTTGCCTCCGAGCCTTTGCATCCTCTAGTTCTGTCCTGGGAGCTCCAGCAGCTAGGCTAGAAAGAATTAACCAGGGTATGGCAAGTTCCAGAGGACTTCTTAAGCTGTGTGTTGTTCCCCTATGGCTGGAGCACAGTGCTAGGTGGCTGAAAAACCCAAGTGCTGATCTAGCCAAGTCCCCAGGATGGAGATGATAGTACAGGACTAGGGGGAAGTAGTGTTCTTTCCCCACAGCACTCCTTCAAAGCCTGGGCTCCTATACTAGCCCATCTGCTGCCCTAGAAGGCATAGGGCCAAATCCAAAGCAGCAGAAGTACAGGAATTCCTGTAGAGGAGACAGATACACCCAGTCTCAGGTTGATGCTGGATAAGGCAGTACTCTCTGTTGCCTGTACTCATTGCCTATGCATGTTCTCTGAGATGGAGACAAGCCATTGCTTAATGGCCTGCATGGCGCCGCATAATATCCTATACTTCTGGCGTCTTCATGCCACCATGTTCACTGTGCTGTTTCTAGGAGTAGGGATTATGGCTGAGGGCAGTGGTGCACAGCCTGTGTGAGAGCCAGCTGCTTACTCTGGGCCCCAGCATGGACCAGGATGAGGCATAGCTATACATACAGTGCTGGACATTTTTGGAGACAGAAGCTTTGCCTAAACCTGAAGCCTTCATGGTCTGAGGTGGGGCCTCATGGATAAAAGGAAATTATAAGCAGAATTGGCCACAGCCTTTGTAGAGGTCTTATGCAGGGCCTGGTGCCAGGGACACACCCTGTCATCCCTAGGAAAACCCTCTGGGTAAGGCCTCCTGGGGATGTTTTTGGAGGAGCCCCTTGGGGCTTAGAGCACTGACTCTTCAAGGCACAGCTGGTGGTGCCCTGAAGAGTGGCATTAATGCCAATTTACCCTGTGAGCTGCATGTCCTACACAGACTAGGACAGTGTAAGCACTTGGGCAGGGGCAGTGCCCCTGTATCTCTGCCCTGCCTGCCACAAGGAGCAGGTCTCCTTTAGGTTGGGACTACTGGGGAGCTGCTGAAGCTCAGTGGCTAGGACACTATCTCTTGGTGTTAGATGTAGAATCAGTGGCAAGAAAATTATTTTTTAATGACTTCAAGCTCTTTGCCAGCTAAATAATACATCCTGTTTCAGAGCCTTTACCAGCAACATTGTCCCAGGGAGTCCTCAAATATGACCAGGCAGATAAGCTTGCCTGGGCTCTGCCTTTGAGCTCCTGGCCAGGGGTGTAATATGTGGGTCTCTGGTTCCTTTCCTGTGTAGAGATACATCACACAAGTGGTCCAACAACTTACTAGGGGCAGTTTACCTCCCTTACTACAGATTGGCAAAATTAAGTTAATACCCTGGGCCTTGTGTGACAGACACTAGCTACTGTGTACTCCCATGACTAGAATGATAGTAAATCCCCAGTCAGATTAACAAGCTGGGGGGAGAGGGGGGCGTGTTACACAGCTCAGCAGGTAAAGGTGCTTGCTATGCAAGTCTGTTGACCTGAGCTTGAACCCTGGAATCCATGTGAAAGTGGAAGGAGGTGTGTTGGGGGAGCCCCTTCAGCTACCTCACAGATATATAATCTTATTTTGCCTTTGCAACTTCATGTTGCCCAACCACCATGGGTATAACCTTAGTTTGCTGACATGTGTTCTCATTGTAACACTGCTATTTACAAGAAGTAAAGTCTTTTGGAAGATTATTTGGATTGACAGTTAAATATCCTCTACCTAGTTATCCCAGCACTTGTAAAGCATTAATAAAAGGAAAACACCCTAATCCCACATCTCTGCAATGTGATGTTCCTGGGTCCAGCCCCAACTATTGACCAAGGTGTTCAATCTTTGTTTACAGAAATGGAGACAAGCCCCCACTACCCAGGTCAGAATCTAAGGGTGATAAGTGGGTTTCACAGCTGTTCTAAACAGCTGAGATGTAATAAGAAAAATGGGCAAAATGCAAATAAGAACACTAATGATTTAATATGAAGGAGAGCTGTAATCCTCTCTCCACCAGTCTGGCTTCCATTCCCCATTGTCAACATCCCACTGTGATCCACAAATACTAATTAAATGAAAACATTTGACCACATTCATGCAACTTATATTGTTACAGTTCTATTATGACTCATTTCTTACTGTGCTTTAAAAATTGGGATAGGAGCTGGGTGGTGGTGGCACGTGCCTATAATCTCAGCACTTGAGACAGAGGCAGGCAGATCTCTGAGTTCAAAGCCAGCCTGAACTACAGAGAAACTTCCAGGATAACCAAGGCTGTTACAGAGAGAAACCTTATCTTGGAAAAAGGGAAGTTTTAATTCTAAATTGAGTTTATATTGATTTCTTCCACTCCTATCTGAAATGAACATCTAAGAATTAACTCCTAAATTCATTTGAGACTAAAGGAAGAAGAATCGGATGGAGTGGTCTCTAAATAAAAGCTTAAACCTTAATTTCACTTGAAAAGTTAAGAGCTTACCCATGACTAAACTAGCCTATGAACAGATTACCTTAACCTGTTCCATTTTGTCATAAATATAATTAAGGTTTGTATGCCAAAGTATATTTCTACATTGCTCTGTGTTCTGGTTTTTGTCAACTTGACACAAACCTATACATATCTGAGAATAAAGAATCATAATTAAAATGCCTCCGTAAGATTGGCACATTGACATATCTGTGGAGCATTTTCTTAATGAGTGAGGTGGGAGGGCCAAACCCATTGGGGAAGGCACCACCCTGGGCAGGTAGGACTGCAGTATGTAAGAAACCAAACTAAGCAAGCTAAGAGCAAGCCAGTGAGCAGAGCTCTTCTGTTTCAGCTCCTACCCCCAGATTCCTGACCTGTTTGAGTTCCTATCACCTGGAAATGTAAAATGAAATAAGCATGTTCCTACTTGTGATGTTTTGAGTGAGAATGATCCCCATAGGCTCGTTTATTTGAATGCTTGGTCTCTAGTTGGTGGAACTGTTTGGGAAGGATTAGAATGTGTTTTTATTGGAGGAGATGTGTCACTGGGGGTGGGCTCTGAGGATTCAAAAAGACCATTCTAGTCCCAGTTAGCTTGTGAAAGTATATTAAGCACCCAGTTTCTGCTTCAGCACCATGCCTGCCTGCTACCATGATCCCCACTCTGATGATTGTGGTCTGAAACTCTCTGGAACTGTAAGCCCGAACAAATACTTTTTTTTTTTTTTTTTTTGTTTTTTCGAACCAGGGTTTCTCTGTGTATCTCTGAACTCACTCTGTAGACCAGGCTGGCCTTAAACTCACAGAGATCCCCCTGCCTCTGCCTCCCGAGTGCTGGGATTAAAGGCGTGCGCCACCAATGCCCAGCCTCTTTTTTGTTTTTTCTAGACAGGGTTTCTCTGTGTATCTCTGAACTCACTCTGTAGACCAGGCTGGCCTTAAACTCACAGAGATCCACCTGCCTCTGCCTCCCAAGTGCTAGGATTAAAGACATGCACCACCCCCACATGGACATCTGGAACAGATTAAGGTAATCTGTTCATAGGTTAATTTAGTCATGAGTAAGCTCTGGACCAAACTTTTCAAGTGAAATGCTTTCTTTCATAAGTTGCCTTGATTATGGCATTTTGTCACATCAATAGAAAAGTAACTGAAAGACTCCCCAAGTGGCTTTTGGTCAGTGTTTTATCACAACAGAAACCTAAGATATTCTAATTCTTGGTCAAATAAAAGTAGAAGTTTCACAGAGATTAGCTTTCTTTTGGCACCAAAACCACGCATTTTCCTGCTAGTATGGTTAGATTCTGGTGTCTTCATCACAGTGACCTGGGTTCAATTCTCAGTCAGACAACCATGGTAAGTTTTAGCCACTCATTTCAGAAGCTTCAGCTTACTTCTGTGAAATCCTTTTTATGTCTCATCAAGAATGGCTTTTTACCTAGGTTGTTTCCAGGTTCTGGCTATTACAAATAACACTGCTATGAACATAGTTGAGCAAATGTCCTTGTGGTATGATTGTACATCCTTTGGATATATTTCCAGGAGTGGTATTGCTGGGTAGATTGACTCACAATTTTCTGAGAAACCACCATACTGATTTCCAAAGTGGCTGTACAAGTTTGCACTCCTACCAGCAATGGAGGAGTGTTCCCCTTACTCTACATCCTCTCCAGCAAAAGCTGTCATCAGCATTCAGGACTTACCCTGGATGCAAGAACTGACTTTTTAGAGCCTACTCCCTATGGTAGGATATCTTGCTCAGCCTTGATACAGGGGAGAAAGGCTTAGTCCTGCTTTAACTTGATATGCCAGCCTTTGATGACTCCCCAAGGGAGGCCTTACCCACTCTGAGTAGTGGATTCGGGGATGAGATGGTTGGGGGCAGGAGAAAGGGAGGGAGGGGGAACTGGGGTTGGTATGTAAAATGAAAACAAAAATTTTAAATAAAAGAATAATTACAAATTAAAAAGAACGCCTTTAGGTGGCTGGAGAGGTGGTGGCTCAGTGGTTAAGAGCACTGGCAGCTCTTCCAGAAGTCTTGAGTTCAATTCCCAGTAACCACATGGTGGCTCACAACCATCTATAATGTGATCTGGGTCCCTCTTCTGGCATGCAGGCAGAATACTGTATAGATAATAAATAAATCTTTTTTTAAATGCATTTAACTGCTAGACGGTAGTGGTGCATGCCTTTAATCCCAGCACTTGGAGGCAGAGGCAGGTGAGTTTGAAGCCAGCCTGGTCTACAGAGCAAGTTCCAGGACAGGCTCCAAAGCTACACAGAGAAACCCTGTCTCAAAAAAAGAAGAAGAAGAAGAAGAAGAAGAAGAAGAAGAAGAAGAAGAAGAAGAAGAAGAAGAAGAAGAAGAAAGAAGAAGAAGAGGAAGAGGGTTATTAGTGGAGAATAAAGATGGGCTCTAATGCTTATTGGACCACTTTTATAACAACATGTAAAAATTATTTACTTTCCCAGAGCACTGAAACCACACAGATAGTATCAATGCTGGATGACTTCCTCAATTGTTTCTCTCATTTTCAGACGGATTCTCACTAAACTTGAGAACTGATTCAACTACAGTGATCAGCTACTAAGCTGTAGGGATCTGACTTTTTCTACCTAACTAGCACTGGATTACAGATATGCATTGCCATATCCAGCTTTTTACAAGTGTTGGGGATTAAACGCAGGTCCTCATGCTTGCATAGCAAGCACTTTACCAACTGAACTATGTTCCAGCCCCAAGAAAGCAACATCTGGACAGGGGATGTACAGCACCTCAGTTGGTAGAGTGCTTGCCTTGAATGCATAAAGTCCTGGGTTTGATTCCAAGTATTGAATAGCTCAAGTCTGATGGTGCACATCTGTAATTCCAGAAGCTTAAGGCCCATCTAGGCTACATGAGACCCTATCTCATGTAGGAAAAAGACCAAAATGAAAAATGGCCTGGTATGGTGGCTCATGCCTTTAATCCCAGCACTCAGGAGGCAGACAGATCTCTGTGAGTTCCATGCTAGCCTAGTCTACAAGAGAATTCCAAGACAGCCAGGGCTATGTAGAGAGACCATGTCTCAAAAAGAAAAACTTTCTTGCCTGTGAGAAACATACCTAATTGGCAGATTCACACAGGAAGAGCATGAGTGATGGAGAGAAAGATAATGGAACAAATGTAAAACAAAGCACAGCAATAAAAAGTGACAATCATCAGGTATTGTTTCCTTCTTGCTGAGGAGAGGTTTCACTTTTTCTCTTGCTTCTCAGTGTTGGAGTTCACAAGGCATGGCAGGAGAGTGATGTGTCATTTTCCTTCAGATCCACACAGGACAGTGTTGTATGGTGCCAGGTTCTGTCTTGTCAGCTGGGGCATGCAAGCTTAGACAAAGACCTCTGTGGAGCTGAAAATATACAAGTGATCTCTGTATGCAGGCCTTGCAATGGGGGAGAATATGGGAGCTGCCTTCCAGTCATGGTGACTCACCTATTGACCACACCCTGCTAGCTGTTTCTTCACACCAAGCATGATCTGCCAGTACATGTGTAGGAAATTCCCAAGAAGGCACTGTATTTCTACCAAATGCCTGAGAAACTGAGACTGGGAAAAACAACCAAAGCAATCTGAGAGGCAGCAGAGAGTGAGTGATCCTCCACACCCTGCCACACAGTCCCTGCCCCACCTCCTACTCATCCATACACAGGTTGTCCTACGTTTCCTCTCAAGAGTCCAACCATAGCTCCCAAGTAGAAGTCCCTATACTTTTCTCTGCAGCACAACCAGAATTCTGCTCACATCAGCCCAAGTTTGCAAATCTGTGTCTTAGTCACAGTCAGATTTACACAGTTATACTGATTCTTAGAGTGGTCTCTTCCTTAGCTGGTGAAGAGGAAAGGCCATCGAGACATGGGGAAATAAATATGTAGATGTTTATGACCCCCACAGCCATTGGGTATGATAGTAATGGCAGAAGAGTAGAGCAGAGCATATAAAATTTACGTTATAAAAGAAAACAGTGATAAAAACAACTCAGGAAAAAAATTTCAGGGAAAGCCCACCTCCAATTGATGCTTAAGCATACTTACAAGAAGAGCACACTGTATAAATAATATATGAAGACCCCAATATGCTAGTTAATGGGAATATCCCATCCCTGTACAATTCCTTGTAGGGTACCCTTTAGACTCCAATCTTTGCCTGCAAATGATCACAACCTGTGTGTTTTCTTCATCTTCACTTGTTGTCCAAGAGTATCCTGATAGTCTAGACCACAGCAGTTCATAAAAATAGTTTTATAATTATGTAGTAAGCACGGGCACCCAAAGGTGTGTGGATTCTCAGGCATCAAAGGCTGGAACAATGATAGATGTTTTGGTGGCAACTATCACTAGTTGTGCTATAGGTTACTGAAAACTATCCTGAGCCTCACCTAAGGACAAATACAGGTGATGGCATGGGCTGTCATTTCACAGCCATGTGAAGACCTTCCTTGGGACCCAAGATAAATGCAAGAGATGGATGGGATTGTGGCACCATTGGCCAAAGTTCTGATGTCACAGGATGCCATGGAACCTTCACCAGGTCCTGTGAGATAAGGCTGCAATGTGTGACACAGTAATCCCCAAACACAAAAGGTGCCTTCCTTAGCTGTGAGATGTAGGTAGTGGGGCATGCAGCACTCTTAACCACTTTTTGTGGGTATGAGACATAGATGAGACCTGCTGGAAGTCTCATGGTATAAGCACTAAGTAGTGCCAGGGCTTTTTTCAGAATCTCTCAAGTCTATTGCTCTGAAGATCTTCCCTAAGCACTATGGGACATTTAAAGGTAACATCTGGATTCATGATTCTGGTGTCCAGTCTCTTGCAGGAGTGAGGGATCTTCTTACCTCCCTTGATAAATATGGTGTTAGGCCTTAAAACTTTGGCATGTGCAATCCTACAGGATGTGGATAGGGATGTCTATAGATCATATATTGATAGTTTTGTGGAGACCTGGCCTAAAGCTTTGGTATCCATATTCCCAGAGCTGCAGAATAGGACCTTCCTTAGTCTGCAGGAACAAGAACAGGTGATGCTGAAGATCTTATGATGTCTGGGGTTTTGTTTTGTTTTTTAATATCCGTGGATGTCATGGAACTCACTATGTAGATCAGGCTGGCCTCAGAGACCCTCCTGCATCTGCCTCTCTAGTTTGGGG